ATAGGGCCTTCGCACGGTCAGTGCTCGGGCCCTCAATACATGTTACACAACTACAATGAAACGTACAACAATTTCTTCTTCACAGGTTTCCAAATGAGGTTACAGTAAGCCCATGTAACTTATATAGACCAACAAACAAACATTTGCTAGAAAAGTGTGTTAATGTAGAAACCAGCCTATGCTAGCAATTAGCTTGTATAATTAGCTCAGCAGCTAGTTAGCTCGTCGCATTCTTGGAGCGCAAAACTAAAGAGGTAAAGAGAGAAGGACAGAGACAGAGAAAGACATTTGCCAGTCCATTGGCACTATGTACGAGACTGCAAGACTGACTTACGCTTTTACACTGCAACCAAGCCAAAGGAACTTAAAGATGATGCCAGCGATCTGCATCTGTCCATTGACTGAAATGTCATGTTGGACAAAAGCAAGAGCTTTGTTAAAGTTAGGCTAGTCCATCCAGACCATATTTTCTACTAAGTTCTGAACTGAGTAGAAGAACTGGACATTGGCCTAATCGAAAAGGACTGCTGGCAGTTTTTTTCTGTATTATTCAGACTGCGTTGTTAATTACCAAGTAATTGGTACAATTTTAAACGTGACTTTTTCATTTGTCATGCTTTCAAAATGTTGCTGTATATGCCATCACTGAGTTGAATTGAATTCACGTCTTTAATGTTTAGGAAGTGGTATTTTAGCAGTAATGTTTGTGAAAACAAGTCTGAAGTGTAGTTTTTATAAGGCTCTTCTGAGGTTTTCTCAGATGTCATTGTTTTGATACCACATTTCTTCTTAATCAGCCAGTTTGCTGATGCATCTTACAGTATATTGTGACACCACACATCTCAGTTGACAGTAAGATGCATTGTAAGTCTGTTAATTCGTGGTGATATAATTTTGACTAAGCACTTTGTTCACATCAGACTACTTCCAGACCAAGGTTACACGTTTTACTATTAATCATTACCATTACCATTACCATTGTTACTGTATGTATTAAAATTATTAGCATTACTTAGTTAATGAAAGAAAGTCTGCAGTAGAGTTTGATTAAGTCATTCAAATCTGGCGTTGTTGTGAGCAACAAACGTTTTTTTAGATTTTGGACACTTTTTACTGATACACAATACTAATATTGCACAGACACTATATTATGCTGCTGTCTGTCTGTCTGATAAACTTGAGTTCTTACGTTATATGCCTTGTGGATCAACTAATTTGATGTTGAATGATGACTTTTGCTATTGATAATAGCAATGCCAAAGAGATCAGTCATACTTGTGCCAAATTTTCATGTTTTGAGGTTACTAAAATAAAGTGTGGAGTACAGCTTTAGTATACCTGTACACAAATCTTCTTGAACACTTAACATTTACCTCAATTCTACACCATGTTTATGGATGACTCTTGGTGTATTTTGTGATACCACAGACCCTGGTTGAATTGCCAGTGTTACCTGTAAAGTGTTCATGATCTTTTACATTAGGTCACTGATGTTTGATAAAGAGGCTATATAAAACAATTGAAAAGTAGCTTGCAGTTGAGAGGATTTATATTTGACTGTAAAAATGTTAAATGTCACTTTTAACTGTTCATTTAAAGAGTTGAGCCATTCTAGTTCAATCCAGACTAGGCTATGTGGTTATGAGATTTAACCATGTTATTATTGGTTACCATGATTACCAATAAAAATCTTCCTTCTTCCATCACATTTGTATTCAGGTCTTCATTTGAATGTTGATTTAAAGTTCATCAACCTCCCCTATCCCTTTTTAGGAGTTGTTTGAGAAAGTAAGAAAGCACTTTATTGTCATTCATGTGACAAATAGTAAAGGTGGTTTGTGCCATAGGGCTTTAACTTATCATACCTGTCCATGTGCCAAAGTGCATTTGACCCTCTGCAGCTGTAGTGACGTCTTCTCAGGCACTGTGCTCGTCTTATTTCCACACCTTGTGGATCAACCAATTTGATGACGCATCTTATGGTATCTTGTGACACAACAAATCCACACTGAACTGCACAAAGATGTAGCCAACGGTAAACCTGCATTTGTCCATTGGTCATGATCTCATGTTGAACAAAAGTCAGCACTTCATTCTAGTCAGACTGGTTCTTGCTTCTGAAAAAGCCAAGTCTTCTGCATATACTCTTTAAAGTTGGCACACTTATTACTATGTGGTTGCTGTGTGCTAAGATTGCCAGTATTTCTTTCTTACTCAAAGAGTATAGTTTGATTAAGTCATCCAAATCTGACATTTCAGGTGTTGTTGTGAGCAGCAAAACTGAAGTTAATCTATCCGATCACTTAGAGAGACTATGCAGAAATTAAAGAGGGCAAGTCGGTCTCCATAGGAAGGAATGTAATTAGAGTTGCGTCATCCATCAGCAGAATGACATTGCTGTCAATCTGCACAGAAGAGAGAAAAGAAAAGTAAATTACTTTGTGTACCTTGCATATGTCCTGTTAAAAGTCCCCCACCACTTGAAAACATATTTCTATTCTTGTTCCTACAGTTGAATGTTTAAGAGTTTGACACCAGAAGGATGTTTTCACATTCATCTGCTGAAAGTGGAAAGTTTCAAAAAGCTCAAAAATTTAAATAAAGGGCAGGCCTACAAACATGACTTGTGACATCACAAATAGTTTGGAAGTCAACCCTGGTCCAGTATGCAACTTCTACGGTGTGATCCACCAAAGAAACATATTGTGACCAGCAGGAAAACTTAGAAATTAGATTATGGAATCTGTAGTGAGGTAGAAGGAGTAGATGACTTTTTAAGGATTTGAATGTAGAAATGATACTGTCTTTGTGGAATAAAACATATCAGACATTATTGTGTCAAACATTTTATGTTGTGATACACATCTGGAGGGCATCTTTAAAGTTAAGCCCCTTAAATGAGTACTAGTGTCAGTAGGTACATAGTTATACTGTCGGCTTACAGGCAGGTTACAGGTTAATTGTTGACCACGTAACGTTAATGTTACAGGTTTACCAGGTTACCATTACACTGAGTTTGAGTGAGAGGATAGAGGAATGTGTCATTAGAGTGTAATTAAACAATACCGTTGCAGAGTGCAAACCTTTAACTTTTTTGTCCACTGGCAAAATGGCTAGACTAGTGAATGTTGAAATTCTACCAGCCACTCAATAGATTACCATTGTTATTTTGGCTGGTGAGTGCAGCATACAGTACCAGCCACTTGCATGATTTACCAGCATCTGAATGGTGTTAATTTTTTGTCCAGCAGATATAGCTAACTATAACTGAGATTGGATGATTAGGTATTATTGCATGAGTAATAATGTTAGATTTACAAGATTACAAGATTACAAGATTACTTTATTTGTCACATATAGAAGTCCCAGAGTAACATAGAGTGAAATGTCTCCTGACTACTCCTAAACTGGCCTTATAAATATAATAAATAAGATAAATATGAATAAAATCAAACTAATATGATGTAAATAATGTAATTAAATATAAACTAAATAATGTAATTATAAATGAAAACATGTGCAAGGGTGTGTGTATGTGTGTGTGTGTCAGGCTGGTATGTGTGTGTGAGTCCTGGGGCTGGGGGGAGTGGTCAAGTTGAGTTTTTAAATTGCAAATAACACAGAAGTAACATATACAAGTGTTTAAAGTACTTTTAAGTGTTTTGCTTACAAGTTGTTTGCATTTAGCTAAAGTGTGATGTTTTGCACTAATTGGAATGATGTTAATTACAATGTCTTTGACTGGGTGAGGTGTAACATTTTCTAGATTTGTTCTTATTATGGTCCCACTGAGCCTGCACAATAGGGGGCAAGATATACTGTAACTGTATGTTCATGTTGGAAGAATACAGTTTCCTTTAAAGGAAAGCATTCATTGTGTGTTTTCTTCATATTGCATTGCAATAGCCTGTTTAAAGTGATCATATAACAAACAACTAATCAGTACTGATACTGTATACTAATAGATACGGGAGTGATAATAATACAGTAAATGCTTTGAATTTCTTAGATATAGCTGTGCAGTATTCTTAGTAGACCGGATAGCAGCAGATGACAGAAGGCTCATTACAACCGGAAGAGACATATGACTTATTTTTTTGAGACTTGAGACTTGACTTGGACTCGTGACCAAAGACTTCAGACTTGACTTGGACTTGCAAAAAAGACTTGTGAACATCTCTGTCAAGGTATCGGTACCAGTATCAAAAATGTCTGAACCATACCTTCTTAACTCTAGTTTGGTTTCCACCAACTATTTGGCCGATATATATTTTCCACTTCCTTCAGAGCTTATTTACTGAAAACAGCTGCCAGCTGCTGCCAGGTTGCTGAGAGGGCTGAGACTAAATCATACAGTAAAGATGCCATAAAACCAAAACAATGAGCTAAAACAGGCTTAAGAGGTAACTGGATACAATGTTAAACCCTAATATGTAGAATAAGGAGGATTCTGTATCTGTGCAATTATCAGTGATAGAGAAATGGAACTAAGAGAGACGTTTTTCATTGTTTCATTCATTGCTGAGCCAGAGAGACAGACACTGAACCTCTTTAAAGATGCATAACGAAGAATTCTGTGCTCTCCAGGCAATACTCTGACATCTGTGACTCCTTGTCAGCAGTTATTGCATTTGCCTTTGCCCTCTTGTCAATCTCAAAAGTCTCTACAGTCTACCAAAAACAATTTGCAGGGCTGCACTTGTGTTAAATGGATTATTGAGTCCAAATGCTGTCACTCATTACATGGATGGTAAAGGGTTTAATTCAGAGTATCTAAAGATGGAGCTACATCTCGGTTGCTCCATAAAAAACCTTGAACATTTTATTCACATTTCGAAAGACACCTGTGCTGTTTATTTTGTGTTTTGATGACATCCATCTCTTGATTACGTATTTATGTTATTTATGATACTATGTACTATAAAAGAATAATTTAGGATGATACAGACATTAACACACATTCACCTTCTCCATCCTGATTGTGTTTTAATACATCCCAGGTGACATAGAGATCGGTCTGATGGAGAGGAACGGGGGTTTGGAGGTGGAGGTCGTTCAAGCCAGAGGACTCACCATGAAACCAGGCTCAAAGGGACCTCCAGGTCAGTCCGTACCACTCTGGTCTGTTTACTGAGCAAAAGAAACAAAGCTGTCCTTTTCAGTAGGATTTTCACAGTAAAAACATAAAAACTGAATATGGTATTTTTTCCATTAAAAAGGCTGCTGTTCATCAAACAACTGCCGTCTCTGCAGTTACATGCACAAGACAGCAAATAGCATCAGCTACACACAAACAAAACAGCCTGCAGCGGACATTCTAAAACTAATGGGATATATTCTTCAAAAACACAATTATGGTCCTTCAAGATATGAAAGATGTATGAGTGAAGAGGAGGAAATTGTGTTTTCACTGTTCAGGGAGTTAACATACTGAGCAGAGGGAGGAGATCTGCTAAATAAGTAAGATCTACATTTGCTTCTTAGTGAAACATGCAGCATGTTGCTCTGACTTCAAATGCTGCTCTGTAGCATCTGCATAGGAGAAAAACTCCAGTATCTGGATGGTCTGAGTTTCTGACATCAATCAGGAAATTGTTGTCCAGCTATAATGACATTAGATGAAAGAATCAGTGTTCAAAAATAAATGTGACAGCCAAACACATCAGCACATACACGGGTCTGTGTCACAGTAAGGCGTAGCCAGAATTTTACAAACAATGAGGTCAGGAGTCCAAAAATGTCCCCAGTGCACACCACCACCAGAGAAATGCTTAAACGGCATAGCACAGTGGTTCCCAACCAAGGGGTTGAGACCCCCACTAGGGGTCGCCAAAGCTTCACTGGGGGTCGTGAGGCCTTCTTGATTTTAAGGCATGTAAGAAAACTTTAGAAATGTAAACAATAGGCCTATATGTCAGCATTTCATTCGTTTTTGTGATGAAAACTAAATGAAATTGTTCTTTTTGAAGTTCAGATTATTATTTAAGATCGAAACTGAACACAAGCTATATTCACAGAGCCTTCACTCTGTGATAAGCAGCTTCGTCCTGCATTAGAAAAGTTCAAACAACCAAACAGCTAATGAGGAGAAAACCCTGAATTTTCAAAAAAGAAATGTATTAAGCATGTATGCTTGTTAAAATGTAATAAATAGGTACTACAGACAGAAAATTCGATAAAAAGTAAAAAAAATATATCAGGGAAACTCATCTCTGATCAATATTCAAAGGAAATAATCTGCTTAAAATTCATCCAAATCGCTCGTTTTACATAAACTTAGTGGGGGGTCGGCAGTTTACTCAGTGACAGCAATGGGGCATATTCATTTAAAGGTACACTGTGGCATTTTTAACCACTAGTAGCACAATGGACCAATGTATTTATGAGCAGGCTCTCATTTTGTTTGTTATTGTTTGTTACATTAGTGGCGTGCACATGCATGTGGGTGACCTGATACACATTCCTTACAAAGATTTTACATCACTCCACTCATCAACACGCCAACAAATGCACCATCAAAGACATGGAAGAAGAATACCGCTAGCAGGTAAACATGCTAGTAAACAATGCATTTAATACGTTTGTCAAGGATACACGCAATCTTTTTTAGTGCGAAACACTGAATGTAAACATGTTCCACAGGGCACCTTTAGTGTTCAAATATGATTATTATGTTAAATAATAGATTTAATTTCCCCACATGATGTTTGTATTATCTGCTACTTCAAAACCTTGCATACATTACTGCATCCCCGGTCACAGGACCACTAGTTATTCAATGACACATTTTCTGCATTTGCACTCTACAGTACACCCCAAGGATTTTCAGCTTCATGCATAGTTGCACCTGAAATATATCAAAATCAAAATGCACTTGGAGAGCTGTTAACATGAGTTGGCTGCCCAGTTGGTTTTACTGTATATTAAACAGAGCAATACATCAAGCGGACACGAAAGCGATAAAGCCAAGCATCGGCTAGTTTAATTAATTAATCAGATGAGTTGACAGGAAATAGAACCAGGACTGGCACGATGTCAGCATGACATCATGAGCTGTTGTTTTATATATTTTATTTTTTTTATTTTGCAGCAAGTTGGATTGTGTAACAACAAACTATTAACTCTGATTGTATCCCCTGTGTGGTTGCATAATATTAAACCAGCCATTGATCCTAATTGCATAAGAACAAAACAGCGTCAGCAAATAAGGAAAAACAAAAACATTATCTGGGAAAAAACTATAGGAGAGAGATAAAAGAGAAGAGGATAATAAACAGAGCAAAGCACAAACAAGAGTCGGACGGGCGAGAGTAGAGAGCAATTTAGTGTGAATGAATGAAAAAACATGCTGGTGAAAACAGCGAGACACGGAGATGAAAGGAAATCCATATATAGTAGAAAGACAAAGCAGAACCTTGCTCCATATTTCAGTGTGCCAGGGTCTAATCTTTAATCTTGTCATCTAATATAAAAAGCTTTGGTGTGTGTGTGTGTGCGTGTGTGTGTGCGTGCGTTTGTGTCAGTCAGTCAAAGTCAAAGTCTATTCTCATGTTGTTATTGTTGTGGGTTGCGTTACCTAGCAACAAAGTTTCATTCCAGGAAATAATATTATAAGACCGGTGTTCGCTACATTATTAGAAAGCTGTATTTCTTCTTTAAAGCACAGCAGTATGATGCAGACTGATGACTTGCAGGGTGAACATGAAAAAAAAAAAAAAACACTTTCAGACTGAAAGCTGCTCTATGACGGAGATATGACAGAGATCAATTGGTAGGAAAACGTCATAAACAATTCTGCTCACTCACAGGAATTTCTTCAGGGTGCTGACAGCAATTGTTTGCATGTGTATGTATAAAGTGTGTTTTGCATAATCTGATGTTTTTTGAGGATTTTAGTCCTTTTTGTGTAGAAAATTAGAAACTAATGGTTTGAAATGGTCTTTTTCTTGCATGAACTTTGTACAGTGCAGCACACTTCCCCCTCCTCTGCTCTGCCTTTGTCTATTCTCCTCTGCTCTGTGAAACTCTTAAGGGACCATTAGGGACTACAAGGCGAGGCTAGTGAGCTAATCTGCTAGCATGTCTACTGCCAGCAGTAAACTGTTTTATCTTTATAATCCATGGCCGTCAGCTGGATACATAAGTATTATGAGTGTTTATATAAAAAGAAGTTTCAATTAGAGATGTCCTGAGTCAATCCTCCACTGTAATCGAGAGTGGTGTGTTTTTGTGGTTCCCATAACACCGACATTCTGTGATAAGTAAAACCGACCATTGTTTGCATCTTGATTGCATCAAGTCTGTTTCAGGAGTTGCATTCTCCCAGTTAAACATTTATACATATCAATATTTTTTTCAGTTTAATAGTTTTGAACCAAGACCTTCAGTATTTGGATCAAGTAAATTATAAAAAATAGGGTTTGCCAAATTGCTATCCTGTTATTTCAATGCATCAGATAAATATTAAATCAACATTCATCTCTTATATTGTTCTTTATATATTATTTTAACTGTGTATGATGAGCATCTTTGGCTCAACAGGATTGTTTGAAAAATTAAGTTCTGTCTTATCTCATTGTCAGATTGTAGCTTGAGTGTGTGACTTGCATCAGGATCAAAACCTAAAAACGGCGACTCGCGGCGTCTGTTCATAAACTATGGTACAGAACCTATTAGAGAATTTATAACAATGGGATCCATAAATATGAATATTCACAAAGGTAAATGTCATATTCTGGAGGGAGGTTAGATAACCTCTTTATTTAGGTCACTGAAGTCTTACGGCAGAACTACAAGGTTCGTACTTTAAGAAGTCAGTAACCTGCTGACAAACAAGCAACCGGAAAGTACCCCACTGATGCCTTCGAGTGTCTCTGTCACATGACCCTCGCCTTGCAGGTTGTATCAGTCCCTCCTCGAGTCCCCTATCTTGTCTTCTACCCTTCTCTACTCTGCCCTCATCTATTCTTCTCAGTTCTACTGTCCCATATTGTTCTGTCTGTTCTAGTCTACAGTTTGAACTCTGAAGGGGTTTACACTGAGTTCAGGTTTAACTTTTCTGTCGGCTGTCGTTTCAGCGGCCTACATCAAAGTTTACCTCTTAGAGAACGGGATCTGTGTGGCCAAGAAGAAGACCAAGTCAGTGAGGAAGTCTCTGGATCCTCTCTACAACCAGGTCCTGGTCTTCTCCGAAAGTCCACAGGGGAAAGTGGTGCAGGTGAGATCAGATTTTCAGGATTTACACTGGGTTTTTTACACAATATTTAACTTATAAAAGATAGAAACCACTTACAATGTGAACAAAGTTGCGTATGGTAATTCAGGAAATGAGCAGACATTTTAATCAAACCTGAACTGTCCTTAATTTAGTCAGAAACCGAAGTACTAGTAACACAATTTCTTACCCTGAGCGAAACATGAATGTGTGGGGAAATCCATCCAGAAGTTGTTACTACTTCACTATTACTACTACTATTACTATTTCACTCAAAACTACAAATGTGAACCTCATGGTGGCGCTAGAGGAAAACACAAATGAAGTCATTAGGATTCATCATCTAGGACTACAGGTGTATGAAATTGACAATAACCTTGATATTTAAAGATTGACATCTCAATATTGTGTTAATAATACACATATAATAATATGTTAACTGGGTTGTGCCGTTCACCCTCCAATATAGTAGGTGGCAAATTAATTTGGCAAAAAAGAGACAAAACACACAATAACAATTAAAGATGAATTTGACAGCATTATTATTTTAATTTAAATGTTTTACATTTTCTATAGATATTGTGATAATACTGTGATTTCTTTTGGCCACGATAATCATGTACTGACAATTTAGGACCCATGATGAATACCAAAGTCAGTGGGATTCATCCTCTGGGGACCACGAATGTCTGTACAAAACTTCAATATTTCAGTCTGGACCAAAGTGGTGGACTGACTGGCAGCCATGCTATTACCACAAGAACATCAAGGTAGTGGAAAAAACAAATTCATAACCACAAGAACAGATTAATCCTGCCAGACACCGTCACCATAAAATAACAAAAGTGTCTCACTGTGATTGCGTGGATTGATGAATGTAAGTTAGTGACTAAAAAGTTGAGGAGGTGCAGAGGAGAGACAGCAGAAGAAGTTGGGACAAAGAGTTTGACATTTACAGTGAGAATCTGACCTGAGGGACCGGCAGGCTGTTTGAGCTGATTTTGTTCTTTCAGTTGTTTGAGATTCAGCTGCTTTCAGGATCAAAAATGTCACAGAAGAGAGACTGATCATTACAGCGCATTCTGAGCTCTGTCACTCTTTTCCTTCTTTTTCCACTCTTATTCTCCTTTCTGTTCTTTATACATTATTTTTTCTCATTGCTGCATTATCTTTCTGCTTCCTTCCCTCTCTTACTTTTTGTCACTCTGTTTTCTTTCCCTTACCAACTTTTGTTCAATAGCCATTTGTTCTTTCTTCCCTTTTCTGCTTTTCTACCTAACTCTTTCATTTTTGTCTTTCTCTCCCTTCCTTCTCTTCAAACCTCTCCTTCCATCATTTTCTACTTTTTTTCCTTCATTAGTTATTTCATTCCCTCCTGTATTATTTGTTCCTGTTCCATCCTGATATGTTGTTATATTTCTTTTCTTTTCTGTTATGCGTCATGTCACCACTCACTCTGTTCACATTTGTCTGTTTTTCTTTTTGCTGTAATCCTGTTCCAGCAATGTTTCATTTCACCTTCATAATGGTGAAATAACACGTAACGCCAACATGCACACATCTGTGTTTTAACCTCGTGTGCGGTGGGTTTTTCTCAGTAATCAGCAGGTGGAGACGGTGGTGTGTTCAGTGGAGAGGCCTGCAGATCTGCCTCAGGCTGCTCTACTGCTCCTGTCGCTGTGTAATTAGCCACTAAACGCCTCCCTCTTAATTATCTGCTGTCTGTGTCGCTGTCCACCGAGTTTCATCAAACTCATTCACACTGGATAATGAAAATCGCTGAAATCAGCAGCGCTTTTCAATTTGTCACTTCCTCATTTAGCAAAGCACAGCGCTGCAGAAAATTCATTCAAAATACTTCCTCAACTGACTCCATGACGAACAAAATTGTCATGGGAAGAAACCAAAGTGTTAATTCAAAGAACATGATTGTTGACATTGTAGTGGGCTTTGCTGTAATCAGCTGTTCCAACAACTTTGTGGAGATTTTGCGTGGAGCAGAGGATTGTGGTTTTTACTTTCCATTTTTTTCCACAATCAATTTTACTTTCCTAAATCTCCATTATTATTAAATCTGTATGCTTTGATCACATTCTGAGCGGCTTGCAAATAAAGGACCGACCAGTGGCCGCTAAAAGACCCGAGCAATCTGCCTGAACAGGGCCAGCGATGAGCCTCCACCTGGTCTCTGTTGTCAGTTTGTTGCTGCGTTTCCTAATCTGTCGGAGGGGGCAGCTGTGACTGATTTACCCAAACATCTCTGCTTTCACTGTGTAAAAATGTTTCCACTCTGCCACCGCAGTAATGATTTAGAACACAACACATTAATCACCCACTGGACTCATTTATACTGATATTGATATACTGATCATTTGCTTTGAAGTCACTGGGACTTTTGTATAATTGTTTGAAATTGGGATTCATGTAAAGCAAAGCTGAAGACCCTTTTCCCTTTATTTTGTCTATAATGAATGTCTCACAGGCCTTTGGGACCAGTGTATGTGTGTCTTAAACAGAGGTCAGGTCAGTGTGCTTTGAAGGTTGTGGGTTTGAACCTCTGTGTGTTCAATGACAACGCCTTCAGAACGTCCTGAGGCTGCTCTCACTGAGTAATTAGCTGCTAAACGCCTCCTGTCTAATTATCGGCTGTGCATCTTTCGTCTCCTCTGCTCTGCACCCTCTGCTACCATCCCCTGATCATCTAATTTTCTCTCTTATCTGGGGCTCTCTGACAATGTGTAATCTTTTATGTTGTTTTGTTTTCCATATGCCATTGTGTGTTTGCTTTGCATTTTCTTGAGTAAATGCAATCTATATGCCAGCTTATTTCTGTGAGCTGAGGGTATGTGAGTGCTAATGAACTCTATCTAACCATTGTTGCAAAATTAGGTACACGAAGTACAGAAAAACCAACAATAGAAAAATAACAAGGTTTTCTTTTTCTCCCATTACCCTTAATGTATGACAGCTCTTTTCTGGTCACACACACACACACACACACACACACACACACACACACACACATATATATATATATATATATATATGTGTATGTATCTTTTTCAGAAGTGGGAAAAGTAGCAAATCCAGGATTTATTTGTCCAGATGTGTCACTCTCTCTCCCATCATTCTTTATTATTCTGTCTCTTTTAACCAGAGGGAGTTTCTGGTGTCAGAACTGGGAGTGGCTCAGATAGAGACACGCTGAGCATCTGAAGTAATCTCTCTATCTGATTCTATACTTTAGGGCTCAGTCACACCAGAATTTATAAAAACAAAATTTCTTGAAATCAGTCCTTTTAAACTCAATCAAAAGATTCTTTCCCCAAAGTAAATCTGTACAGTGCTTTTGTGAACTTTGACACCTGAACCACCCTGACATAGTCTTCCAGCATCACCTACCCTGCATAATAAGTATGTGGTGACCAAAACAAAGTGGACTTTTGAACATTACACTGATAGTTGAACACCTCCAAAACCATGTGCATTAATCTGCTGCTACAACAACCTCCACTCTTCTAAGAAGACTCGGGGATTTGCTCCATTTCATCCACAAAAACATAATTGAGGTCCAACGCTGATTGTTGTTGGCCGAAAGGGTCGGTTACAGTTCACCCTAAAGGTGCTTGATGTAATGTTGAATTTAAGGTCCAGTGTGTAACATTGGATCTATTTGCAGAAATGCAATATCATATTCATAGGTAGGAACCTATGGAAATTCTTAGGAAGGTTTCTCCTTCACGCTTGGACTGGGAGCGCAATCTAGAACATATTGTACATTGTACACTGTATCAATAATATATACCCTTCATGTGAACTGGCCCAGACAATAATAATAATAATAATGATATTAAAGCAAAATGCAAACATAAATAAATACAGAGAAAAAAGCAAAAACAAGCCATAAAAATGTGTTATAAGTCACATTTTGCAAGAATATCCAAATTAATTTTGCTGTCCTACTTTCTGGTGTTAGCAAGCACTTACAGTTCTCTTTCCTTCAATTCAAGTTCATCTATCCGTTGTCTGTACCCACTTATCCTCACTTCAATGCAACATGCTGTTTTTTTTTTAATTAAATCCCTTTTTGTCTGTCCATCAGTAGCAGCACTGTGAATGTGTTTGTGTCTGTGTGGGAGTTCCACTTCCTAGAAAGTGGACTAAAGAGGATCTAGGACACTGTATCTTTCATCTTCCATACTAAACACTCAACCAGTTTCTCTTGTTCCACCATGCATGTCTCCTTCTCCCAGTGTCTCTCTCTCTCCCCTTTATTGGTTCAGGTCAGAAAGAGAGATAGATTCTCTTTATTTAAAGATGGTGGGAACAGATTGAAGCATCTCTGTGTCTCTGTGGAAATCACTTGCAGATACACACTCACACATACCAAACAAATTGGTATGCTGGCATGCACAGACACACAAGACCACCACACGCGCAGACGGATATTGATTACTTTGTCCGCCGCTTGACAAGATGTGGGGCTGTCTGAGATGAGCCCTGATGTTATCAGGATGTCAGGAGACAGAGGACACGTAACGTACAAACACACACAGGTCTCTAAGCACATACCGCCATCATCTGCCTCTCTCGCCCTCTTTCACTTTCTCTCACACAATCCCTCTTCATTAACTTTAATTGAAACCTCCGCCTGCTCTGTGTTGCCGTAACAGAGAGAGGGAAACTGTCAAGATCCAGTATTGCTTCAGTACAGATTTCCAAACCATCTGGATTACTGATAATTAACCTCACCCTCTTAACCTAATTACTTTGTCAATTAATCATCCTGGTCATCCACAGAATGTTTTATGCACAATTCAGAGACCTCTGATGCCATGTTGAGGCATCAAATCCATTGAAATTGACTGAATTCTCTGTGTGCTGGAAACATAGACAGGAACATTATTGCATCTACCTGTAGACAGAGCTTTTCTGATCAATAACTTCTATCCAGAATGATGTGATATTTATGGCATTTTAGTCAGGATATTAATATAGATTTAAAATAGCTCCTAGAAGTCATACAGTAGGCCTCTTGTTTTTGCTAAATTGAATAAAAAATATAAACTGCTATCACTAAGTCCCGCCCTCACACCCTGTGCACTGTTATTGGCTGGGGGCTACACACCCACTGCCTAAAGGTTGACACCCAGAACACTGAAAATAAAGAAATACGGGCGGAGTGTAGGGTCTTTGCAGATACAGACAGCGCCACACCCTTATGGAAAAATCCCCAAAATGTGTTCATATAAAAATGTGCATTATACAATTTATCTAAAAAGTAATGTATTGAATGTGCAAAGTTTTCACTTACAGTATCCTGTCAAATATCTCAACATCTTCCGCTTGTCATGTGCTATGTATGCCCAAGCATCGTCTACGACCTCCTTCTTTTTGACGTCTCTGCAATATAGTGATGTCAGTGACTGTAGAAACCACCGCTGGTTAAGGCACTAAAGCTTTGGTATCTTACATTGTTATGGTCCAGGTATCATATTTGGGTTTCTTGAAAAATCAGAGCAGGTCTTTTGGGTGTTTTAAGTAGAATATATTTGTAACTCGTATGAACGACTACTTTGCACACTTAAAAAGCTGCTCTTATTTTTGTATTAACTCTACTTTGACATGTAAATGCAAATATATTATGAATACATACATTTATATCTCGCCACCCTCTTTTTAGGTGATCGTCTGGGGCAACTATGGACGGATGGACCGCAAATGCTTCATGGGTGTAGCTCGAATCCTATTGGAGGAGCTGGACCTCAGCACAATGGTGATTGGCTGGTACAAGCTCTTCCCTACCTCCTCCATGGTGGACCCAACGATGGCACCACTCATTCGCCATTCCTCCCAGATGTCCTTGGAAAGCACCATCGGGCCCTGTTGTGAGCGATCCTAAGACTCACGCAAAAATATAAAGTTTTGTTGTTGCGGCTAAGACTCTATCATTGTCTCAACCAAAACCTAAGACACATTTTGATATATAGCCTGTAGCCCTGCACTCGGGTCAGCCAGGTGGTACTGCCCCTCAGCAGATAGGGGTCTTACCCAAGGGCACTTCGACAGGTCCAACCACACTTGGGACTCAACCACTCCCCTGACTGGGAAATGATTTTACTAACTAGTAGGTCATTTTGCCACTCAATGGAAATGTACTGTAATTCTTTTGATATTGTATCAGACTGTTTCCCAAGACTCATGGGAAGCACATTTCTTTTGTTGTTGCAACCGACCGCCCCTCAGACTCACAGGAAAATTTTGCTTTCTTCAGATCTCTTTGATGAAAAAGCAAAAACCTACTTAATGAGGATACTTCAAAGGAGGGCTCGGTTGCCGACATTGATTACATCCTATTGGGACCACAATACACGGCGGGCTCAGCTTTGCTTCAGCTACGCGCCTTCTTCGCAGCCTACATTCGATTCTCATTCCCAGGACTATTTGTTGTCTTGCTGTGTCCTCATTAAGGGGCTGGACAGCTCCTGAGTGTTATCTGTCAATCCACAAGTCCAGAGAGAAAGTGAGACTGCCCTCAGATGGTTTGAAACACCAGCCTCCCATTCTGCAGGAGCATGGGAACAGCAGGTTTTAGATGAAGGGATCTGTGCGCAGCAGGACTACAGAGGACTTCAAAAAAGAATGGAGACGTCTTGGTTTCGAACACTCTGACATGAGCTGTTTTTGGTTTTTGTGTCACACATTTGGCCCTTCTGTGTTTAGTTTGTTTGGTACTCTGTGTTTGTGTGTGGAACAGGCATGAATGCAGGCCCCTTTCATCTTCTAGATCTCTACCTGATCTTGGGGATCCAGAGTACTGCTGGGTTTCTATCCTGCCAGTTGGCTTGGATATACTTGTCGCACCAGGTATAAATTGGTTCCCGAGTGAATTTATATGGTTCAAAAGAAGAACTAGCAGGTTCTGAGTTCCCAAAGACCATGTGCAAGTATGACCCAAGAGTCATTTTCATTCCAATCAATCATTCAATAAGCTGATTTTATTCAGTATTGTGTCATCTACTATGGAAGGCACTGTTTAGATAAATCAGCTAGAGCTGTGTTTGGTGAGGATGAAAACATGCAGACTTGTGATCTCCGACCCCATTTTACCTGGTTGTTTTTTTTAATCTAAATTGATTGCATCCAAATAGAGATTTCCAGCTTTAAACAATTTGAAATCTGATTATCTGAACCAGTTAATTACATTATACCCTGGTGCATTATGCTGCCACTGAAGATGCATCTCAAAGTGGAAAAATGGCATATACAGATATCTGGCGTGACAGCCAAACTAAACTGGATTTTATGCGCTCAATATATTGTATTAGATCTGGATTAGAAATCAAAGTGGCTAACCATACATGCAGGTGACTGTCACGTCCAAATGCAATGTGGTTAAACCGTATCAGGATACAATCTAGATACAGCTGGTATTAAACTGCCATGTGTAAATGGGGTCTGAAAAGTTAAGGCTGTTGTGTCCTCATTTGGTTCAGTTCTGTTCTGTGTTTTCACATCCACCTGGTCGTGCAGGTCACATCAAGTGCAGGGGTTAGTTATTGCACCTGTGTTGTAGCGCTGACACGTGATGCTAATACAAAAAAAGACATGTTTCCACAGGCATCGAGGACAGAAGCCTGGCTGACAGTATAGGGCTGAGAACTTGCTGTATATCCCAGTTTAATTGTAGTTTGGAATGCTCTTTAGCTTATAATCTAGAAGTAGATTTTTAAGATTCCTCCTCTCTTTTTTTAAAGCTTTGGCTAACAGTTGTCTAATAACAGTTTCTACTGTGCCAATTTCTACCAGCAAGTGTCTTCTCCTTCCTCTTCTTCAATTACCTTGCAGCATGTGCTATTGTGAGGGAGGAACAGAAACAACCACTCACAACATCTGACAGCAAGTATTCAGGCCGTGCAGAGACGCATCCCTTTTATTCTAAATTACAGCCCTAATCCACAAACCGCCAAGGCACCTGATGATTAGCCATGCTACGACTCAGTACGGAGAGAGGAAGAGAGGGAGGAAAAGGAAAGAGAGAGGAAGGAAGCATGAAATGTACTTTGCATCATCCAAACAAAGGATCTGTCTGGACTGACGTTCGCAGATTTAAAAAAAAAGGACACAAAAATAGGATGAATTTAAAGGGAACACAATGTGCACACTGTAGAGAAATGTATAGTTTATTAACGAACAAAAGTATATGTATTTAATTTGGGCACTTTATGATTCTTAATGTTTTTTTATGTGTAAATATTATGGTTGTTAGTGTCTTTTGGAGTGAGCCAAAGTTAATCTATAATGACTTAGTTGATTAATGTTAAAATCTGAGGGAGGGAAGGGATATCCTTGCTAGTTACCGTAAGATTGTAGCATTAGCTGGTAGCATCCGCATGACTGATTAAAACTTCTAATTAATTAGCAGGCAACTTGATAAGACTAAGCATGAGCTATACGCTACACAGAAAGAGGAGGGATGAAATACAGTGTGTTGGGTTGAGACCAACATCAATTGAGGAATAAATACATATGTAGCAATTGAAATCAGATTCAAAGTTTACTGAATTTCATTTTGGGCTTTTTTCTTTCACACAAAAACCTGTTTAGTTTTTTTTTTATCTTTGAAGCAAGATTTCAGAAAAAAAAATCCAATTTCTCTATTTTAATGAAACACTTTGGAGTGTCTTTACTCTAAAACAAAAACTTTGCAAAATAGACCTCTGTTTTGCCAGTAGCAGTGTTGCAGGGATATTAATACTGTATTTATTTCCAAACAAATTAGCTACATTCTATAAAGCAATAATCAAAACACATCCAGTCATTGCAGCTTTTCAGTTGTTCAGTGGAAAATGACAAGCTTAGCCGGTGATTTTCACTGCAGTAACATTTATCAGTTATTCAACAAGACAATTATCTTAATGTGTTGATGTCCAAGAGAATATTATACAGCACGAGGATTTTTATGATTTAAAAAATACCTTGTAAATCGTTTGAAGGATCTAAATGCAGTAACTGGAAATCACTTGTTAAGCTGTCACCCAGCGTTCATGATTTTTTTTTCGATTAACTTATTCCAGGGAAAGTGTCATGTAGTCTCTAAGCAATCTCTGTTTACAGAAGGAGCTGGAATATAATAGCCCATCAAAGATTAAAATTTCTGATTTGAAAAATGCAGGATCATTTTTCACAACCTGAAACCACTTTGAAAAGCATGGATTTTAATCTAATGATAATTGCCTGGTAGTTAGAACAAAAGAGGACTGTTTTTAAAAATGAGGTGATATTAGAAAAGTTGTATAAATCAAATATATATATATATAATATATATAAATATATTTTAATTTAACTCCTCTAACTGTGACCCAAGGAATGTGTTTTTGTCAGTGTTCTTTTGTGCCAAAATTTAAACCTATTTTGAGGGCTGATTTCCCAATTGAGGACCAATGAAAGAGGAAAGTTTACACACTTGGCATTCAATTTTCTTTCAGAAACCCATAAGCTGAGTACATCCTGTTCTAAAGGAATGACTCTGCATCCAAGAGGAAGAACTCTGCGGCTGAAACAAAAGTAATATTGCATGATAATGATATAGATTTACTGAAGATTGATCGAGAGTTAGAAATATAAAGCGGTAACCATCATAGAAGTGTCCCATCCATACATCTATCCTGCAGCAGCTGCCTGTACAACACAAGTGTTGTAAAGCATTAATCAATGTTAACAAAGAGCTGATTGTTCGTAGCATTTAAAAGCTAAAAGACCTTTCCTAAGAAGGGTGGAGCAGCATGGCAGCAGTAGAATGGCATGCATGCAGTGAATGATGGCTTTTCTATGATGGCTACAGGTGCAGACTCTGGCATTCGTGTGAATTTGGTGTAAACGTGTATACATCTGACCCTTGCAAGAACATTTTCTTCTCTGATTGTTTGGGAGAGAGACAAAATAAATGCCAACATTGCTAGCAGGATTAAGAGTAATTAATGTTTGTTTAATTAAAAACTGATTGTGTAATTTTGCTCATCAAAAGCTACTTCTTCACCAGTCTTAATTTGTTTGTGACATTTTGTAACTTTGAAGGCAAACGAATGAGCTAATGAACTATGTAGATGTTAGAGTTGACATATTCAGCACCGAAAATGTAAGTTTTTGCACCCACCCATATTTTGATTGTGTCTGCCACATGGATGTTAATTATGTACTACTATCAATTGTAATGTAAGTAGAGGCCTTAAACACACCGATATACATTTTGTCAGGGCTAAGGACTAAGAATTGTCACATAAAGTAATCAATATGACGCAAAAAAAGTTTTACAGTGTCACCATTTCAACCCATTACCTAAAGTAATTTAAGTGTCATCTAAGGAAATGATTATATTTGCGTATGTTCTTAATGAATTTCTGATATATTGATATTTCAACCGACTATTTGTGTATTCTCCCCACGCCTTGGTGTGGGCTTAATTGAACAAACTGAGCAAAAAAGTAGATATTCAAACATTCTGACCTGTTTCTTAACAGGACTTATTTTCTAAACTTAGAATGTACACTATCTTACACTAGTGTTTGTTTATTGATGTTTGAATGCACATAATGGTACTTTGTGGTTTCAATCAAGTAGAGTAAAATGAAAAAAATAAAAAAAGAACATTCCCAATTTAGCCATCTGTAAGAATTGTACTGGAGTGGGTCCTTTTCCACCCTAACTGCCTTCTGGGTTGAAATTCTGCAAAACCAGACGTTTTCCCCTTACTCATTAGCACTGCTCAATTCTGGGACACCATAACGGAGCCACTGACTAAGATACAAAGAAAAAACTTTAGGGACAGTTGTGTTACATGTAATAAGCAGCATATGTGTTTAGCTAATAACTTATAAATGTAAAACAAAGGCAACATGACTGTCCCTAAAATTTTCCCTCAGCCATCTCAGACAAGGCAATTCAATGGTGGATCTCAAGAACATTTCTAACCATGAGTGATGGGAGCATCGCAGCCCTCTTGTTTGGCACTTGTTATATTTACATGTGCACAATAATAGAACTAGTGGGAGATCCCTGATTAAACAACAGCAGCATTTACACGATCTGAAGCAGGCGTAAACATGGCTTCCAAACGTGTTTTTCCTCACTGTAAATGCACATTTCAAGGACAACCTAATCAACAGAAGATATGTTCAGGCAATCAAAAACACATCAGTACCATGCAGAGAAATCTGAAATAGCCATAACTGTAAGAGTAAGCTGTAAGAACTGTTTCCATGGATGTAGTAAGAGAATTGGATGCTGTGTTTCAAGATGGCGGCCCATTTATTTCAATGAAAGCGAATAAAAGTCACAATTTATTGATGCGACTTTTCGGAACTTTTCAAATTTTATTGGCCCCAAAAGGTTCAAATTCTGCTAATACAGTCCATATTCCAGAAGCTTGCAAACTTGTTTAGGGTTGAGCCAGCAGTTTATATACTTTTTCTCCCGTCGCCATCAAACCAGTGTGTAACAGCTTATTTACCGGGCAATGCATCTATGCATCGTTTTTGTTATTCAAGCCCCAATAGCTTATTAAAGTTGTCATTCAATAAGCTACCCAAGCTACCATAAAGGCAATTGTCACCTTTTTCTTCAAGTGAGTAGGAGTAGAAAACAACTGTGCTTCTGTTTGCCAATGGAAGCAACAGAAGCACAGCTGGTTGTCTCCACATTGTCAGAGGACATGTATATAAATTGAACTTTTCTCAACTCTGCCAGGTCACGCCACTGTCAGACTTTTGGGTCTTGAGTCATGGCGGGCGGTGCCAAAATGTAATCTGACGTTGATTTCACAATGATTGGCATCCTATTGTACTTCCATTGCTTGAGTTCATGTGTATCATCCATATTACTATTCTAACTGCAATACAAATACATTTTTGTGCGCATGTATGAGCTAATGTCCGAGCTAACCTTGATGTAAAATGGCCGAAAACCTTTTTTTTTTTTTGTTTGAGTTTAGGGATGGCATATGTGGTAAACTTGATTATTCTCACAGAGTGCACAGGCAGAGCCTATTTCCACAGTTTCTGTCTGTGTTTGCAGAAGATCAACCTAAGAAGTGAATCTGGGTAGAACTCCCTTTGAAGTTCTTTAAAAAAAAAAAAAAAAACCTTCTGTTACCTGAGCTTAAAATGTCCATATCATTTCCCTCTTAAGTTCATGGGTTTCACTGATTAGAAAGAAAGAGAGCACTATTTGTGTCTTTTCTTTTAGAGTGACAGTGTGTGCATTTCTAGACACATACCATATCATGTTCTCTCTGGGGGAAGAGGGTGGAGGAGTGGGAGGATGAAAGGGTAGATGCAGCTCCTCTGCGGATGTTATGAAATGGTGGCTGGTGGATCCCAAAAGCAACACATCTCCTCCAGTCTGGTGTGCTGCAGAGGCAGCCGTTCCCAAACTTTTCCCTGAGAGCCAGTCCCCAACCCAGCCCTCATAAAAGTGTTCCCCCACATGCCATCTGGTGAATCCCACACTGAGTGAATACATTTTTAGGTTGGGTGGCCCCAGTGTGAAGTTAAGTGCCATGGAGTTTCATAACTTGTGTTTCTCGACACCATTCCTGGTTAAATTACCTCTCAGCTCTATGAGTTCACATTTCAGTCACACATTACTAGTCACACACTGGTGTCAACTCATTTGGGCTCCAACCCCAAATCTTCTACACAAATCCTCCTTTTATTTCTTCAATAATGGTTGATGATCCAAAGTTTATCTACAGCATTCACAGCCTGAAATTCTCATCTCTAAACCATCATGTGAGGCCTTTTGAGACCATTCGAGAAATTTCCTAACGCTACGATCTCCTAAGGCCCCTAAAATACTACGTATAACGAGGTGATGTTTTGGTTTTGGGATACTAGATGAGACAGTTTTACAGGCCTTCTCATTCTGTCAGGAACATGTGAAATGGGCAACTGTTGGAAGCAATGCTGATGGAAAATCTTCAGTGATAAGAATTTATCCAGGGACGTTTTTCTAAGTATACTGTATATTCTTTTTCTGAGTTACACATTCCTTCCATTTAATGAGAGTTGCTCCATCCCTTCAGTCTTCTACTGTCAGCCACTGAGTAGCTTCACTGGTTGCATTTGTTTGCTCAATGGCAGCTCAGCAGGAGCAAAGGAAGGGAGAGCATCACTGTTTAAACCCCACATTTTAAGAATCACCCAGCCATTTAAGGATTTCAAACCTCCATTTACGAGTATATTGTAATTTTAAAAAAGTTTTCAATACTTTTCGTCCCATCCATAGGTTAGCGTCAAGAAGTGTTAGCATAAACTAATGTTAGCAAAGCATTAAGCACCAAATGCCCATCTGCATTGCTTTCCATTTGTTGCTCATGTATTACTGCCTCGAATGTTATCAGAAGAGTGACAAAGTGGTGTAACTTTAGTTTAATTCACCGCACTGTCATTTAAAACACAAGTATATTTGCAGATTCTTTGGCAAACTGTTATATTGTTGAGTAAATGCACAATTTGGTGTATTGTTATTCTATTCCAGCTGTCAATAAAATAGTTTAACTCCATCATCATGTTTTAATGGTTATTTTTATTTACGTATTTGTTCGATCTGCATTGGCAATATAATGAAAGAGACAGCAGAAACTACAGCTCCTTTGTGGCTTTGCCATCTTGCTAATGGCTAAGGCTCATGAGATATGTTGTTGAATGCTGGAATGGTCAAACTTAACTACAGGACTATGGTACGTTTACTACTGGTGGTACTCAAGCTCCCCCTAGTGGTACGTGAAGGAATCTCTGAAATTCTTTTAAAAAAAAAATGAAATTAACTGAAAAGGTATCTCTGAGATTTAATTATGATAACATTTTGTATAAAACAAACAGGTAATGCACGCTGTTCTTTACACTTAACTAAGACAAATGGTTATTTATTGTAGCTTAATGTGGCCAATGGAGTGTCTTTGTTCTACATTGCTTTGAAAAAAGTGGTGGTCCTAGATAACTCCCTTGAGGCACACCACACTTTACTGCTCTTATACCTCAGAATAACTACCATTAAATGATACTATTTCCTGTTAGTAAGATAACTTTTCATCCATGCGGCTACAAATGGTTCAAATCCATGACAATTCAACTTATTGTATGACAGAAAAACCAGGAGCAGTGTCAAGCTCTGTTCTCAAAACTTTCTGCCATTGTTGTTCTCATATGTGTAAAAAAAAAAGTAGTGTAGCAGAGCTTTGTCTTGATAACATGACCAACGACTTCTTTTTATAAACTTTCCTGAACCACAATAATCTACAAACCCCCTACGAGAACAGATGAGAGTGGAAGAAAGAAAGAAAGAGAAGAAAGGCACCGGTGGGGAGAAGAAAAAACACAATAATAAGAAAGATGAAGGAAGAGAATGAGATGGGGAGCTGGAGAGAGAAACAGAGGAGAGGAGCGATTCATTTTGTTTGACAGTCAGCAGCTAAGGACGATCAAGTATGAAGCTTTAGCCTGTATGTCTACATGGAATAGTCTCTGTCTCCACATCCCTTGCTTTTTACTTCCTTTTACGCTCCTTTCTAGCTCTTTCCTCCTTTTTCTCTTATAGTATCTCTTGCTCTCAATCTTTCTCCCCCCATCAATCACTATTTTCCCTCCCTTTCCCTCCCTCTCTCTCTCTCTATTTCTCTCTCACTCTCTCTGGCAGACGTCCAGACTCCCTGGCGACCAAACTGATCAGCTTGTATTAAGGTCTCTCTCCCTCTCTCTCTCTCTCTCTCTCTCTCTCTCTCCACACACACACACACACACACACACACACACACACACACACACACACACACACACAAAGCAATTGCGTGACAGCAAGGCAGGTCACACTAGGCAGACACACACACACTCACACACAGACATGACTTGCATGCACATGCGCAGACTGACAGACAGAGAAGACACATCACACACACACACATACAAGTTCTAGCGTGACTTGCATACACGAAGGCAGAAAGACAAATTCACACACGAAATTTGGATAAACCAGCGGGAGGCCCTCAGATGGTGCGGATGCAAATTGAGACATAAATCATTTTCTCCACAGGGGAAATTACAGTCCCAAACAACAGCATGTTTCACCTCAGTCAAACGCTGACATCATATAGGAAAGAGCTGTGCTTCGGCACAGACGCTCCTCTGCCTCGACGCTGTCGCTGCAGCGCCCCCTGCTGCATTGCTGTTTGGTAGTGTGACATTTTTAGGTTTTGTACGCATTGGGAAAGGAGGAAATAAAGTCACATGGGGTCAGATTTTGATTCAATCCAAGGGGGAATTATTCTGCCACCATCTCTTTGTTTCCTCCTTTGCGCAAATACTGCAAATAAATGTTTCTGCTACAGTCTGCTCATTAGCAAACAGTGTGAATAAGCAACCTATATTTTCTCCCACAATTTATGTTACGCTGCCAAAAATATATGACTGGAAGGATAATATGCACCTACAAGTGATTGCACAGATATGAAACAGGTCCACTTATGAAGCGAAGCCTGAGAGCCAGTTCAGGCAGGTCAACTCGAGCGGCGCTGCTATACACACATGACATGCCTTATTTCATAATCACTAACCAAGTGCACCCTTTCAATCTGGCGGTCTACTTAAGCTGCAAAATTTCCCAGCTCTCCCTCTGCTTTGTCAATGCCGCTGTTGCCTCAGATCACATCGCTGCTCCAAGCTATTGCTCCCTTTCTGCGCTGTTAGCATTCCCTGTTATTCTTCGGTATTGACTATTGCTGCTAATGCGATTGACATCCTACCTTTTGGCTTTCTCTGTCATTATGTCTGTTGCAATCTCCAACTCAGAGAGTGAGTCTCTGTCATCAGGGGGAGATACTGGCTTCATCCCCGAAACCCAGGCTCAGTCTGCTGAGAATGAATGCAAAAAAAAAAAGTGAGACCTTTCCTGATAGACCCTTGGTAGTGCGGACAACCACCCACGGTCTGTGTGTTTCAGAAGACCCCCCCAACAAAAAAAGAAAAAAAACATGATTTAACTCCAGTGAACGTACCAGCCTCCAAAGCACTGTCAACCCATCCCAATAGTTGCTTTGTTAACTATCTAATCCCTGGCGTAGTTCAAGGCTTTTTAGAAGGTTTTTGCTTCCCCCAAAAAACACCAAATTTTTAAAAAAAAACACCCCCCCCCAAAAAAAAAAAAAAAAAAAAAAATTTTTTTTTTAGAGGTTAAAAAGGGATACATGTTGGGTCCATAAAAAATAGATAGCATAAATAGCCTAATTCCTCAAGAGCCATTTTCCCTGTTCTATGCTTCTGTAGATAATGCTATGCAGATGATTAAGTCAGCAGGGTTGGTGCATGGTTGGGAAAAGCAGACATTACCGTTCCCTTTAAAGTCATGCCACTTCACCCTAGTCAATGGCATCTTTTCGGTGTTAAATGGCGTTCAAAATTATACTTTTCCGTTAAACTGACATTCGGTTGCCGCAGTAGCCCTTGCATTTTTGATACACTGTCAGAAGCGTTGTGCTGGATTCTGTACAACAACTGCAAACTCCCCTATGTCTTGCACCTTTTAGATTACTTTTTAGTAGTCGACTTTCCCTCATCCCTGCCAGCTCGTTGTATTTCTACGGTCAGAAGCCTTTTTCAGGAGTTAGGCGTACCACTTTCAGAAGAGAAAACTGTAGGCCCTTCTACACGTTTGGAATTCCTCGGTATAACCCTCGATAGTATGCTCATGCAAGCATCTCTACCTCAAGACAAGTTGTCTTGAATCAGAACATCTATTAAATTCTGGTCTGCCACTTCCATTCTTTCTAAAAGAGATCTTTTATCTCTGTTAGGTCACCTTAATTTCCTTATGTGCATTATCCCTCATGGTCTTTCCTTCATTTCACGTTTGTTGGTCTTGGCAAAATCTGTTCAAAATCCTAAAGATACTGTGATCCTAGACGAAGGTTGTCTCTCAGATTTGCGGTTTTGGTTCTTGATGTGTGATGAATGGAATGGCATTTCCTTCTTTTACAATGACTATGTGGAATCTGCAGATTCCCTCCAGTTCTTTACTGACGCGGAACCTTCTGTTGGTTCTAACAGTTCTAAATCTACTGCGCTTTATGAACTATACCCAATCGTCTTTGCTTGCTCCCTGTGAGGCCAGAGATGGTCCGGGAAGCAAATTATGTTGTTTTGTGATAACGCTGCTACAGTGGAAATAATCAACAAGGGTCACTCAAAAATACCATTAATAAACAGTCTCATGTGACGTTTAACTTGGGTATGTGTTCTAAATAACTTCATTCTGCGAGCCACTTTCATTCCCGGTCATGAGAATCGTGTAGCTGATGCTCTCTCTCGCTTTAAATTTCAGGAGTTCAAAACTATGTGCTCCCAGGTTCAGCCCTCCAGCACGATATGCCCTCCGTTCAATCAGATGACTCTCGATTAAGCATGTCCAGGCCCCTGCAGGATCTTTTGTACTCTGGGTCCAAATACATGAGAGTCGGTTTAGCTAAAAGCACAATTAAAGCTTATGATTCAGCTTGGTTTTTTTACTCTTCTTTTTGTGCCAACTTACTTCCTAATCCTCTACCAGTAAATGTCTCAGTAGTCTGTGCATTTATCGTGCTTTCATTTGAATCCTGTCACCTTCAAATGCAAAGTATTAAAGCTATGCTAGCAGGGATACAGTTTCACATCAGATGCAAAGATCCAGCATCCCAGAGTCTTCTGGGAAATCCTTCCGTTAAGCTGTTCCTCAACGGCATTAAAAAGGCGCGTCCTGCAGGCAATGATAAAAGACTCCCTCTCACAATTTCACTGGTGCATAAATTTGTGTCAAGGTTAAGGCAAGGTTGTTTTACACTTTATTTCGATGTAATGTTGGAAGCAGTTCTGCTAATGGCTTTTTATGGGTTTCTCAGGTGTGGTGAATATACTTGCAGATCTCTCACGTTTGATCTTCAGCATGATCTCACCTTCTCAGATTTAGATCACATGTACTCTATATTTTTGAAGCACTCAAAGTCTGATAGATCTTGCCAAGGCACTCAAATTTTCATTGCCAAGACTAAAACTACCTTTTGTCCATTCTCTTCCATGATGATATTCCTGCATCATCGCTCTCCAACCCATCGGTTGTCTCCCCTGTTCATTGTGGATGGTTGCAAACCCATGACGAGATCCCGGTTCTCCTCAAAGCTGTGTGATCTCTGCCTGAGCTGTGGGCTAAACCCCGAACATTATTCCCCTCACTCCCTGAGAATTGCTGCAGCTACAACCGCAGCTCTGCATTTGCCTACATCAACCCTAAAATCCCTGGGTCACTGGTCATCCTCTGCCTACCAACGCTATGTCAGGCTACACAAGAAGGAAATCCTGTCTGCGCAAAAGCTCATGAGCTCCTGCTCCCATTAATGCACCGATAAATATTTGTATCTGCCTTATCTCACAATTGTTTATTTGCATATCAGGTGGTTGCTGGGTTTAGAGTATTTTATATTCACTGTGACAAAGGTTTGAATGAGGTTTCATTAAGTTAATTTCCCCTAAATTGCTTGAG